GTCCGCGCCACCGCTCAGGGCAGCAGGCTTTAAAGCAGCCGTCCCGCTCCACGGCGTGCTGCTGCGCCGGGACGGCGACGCTCAGGTAGTCCCCCTTTTTCAAGCTATCGTCCATCCAATATATGACGGTGCGCCCGTCCTGACCGGGAACGGCAAACATCCCATAGAATCCTGGCTCGTATGCTCGAACCACAAAGGCCGCAGGCCCAGCGAGCGGTTCTCCGGGGCAAGCCCATGTCGCTGTCCAGCCGCAATCACACCCACTTGACTCGTACTTCACAATTGCGGGGGTGCGATCCGTGGCAGCAACGCTGCCGGCGATGTGCACCGACGCGGCGGCGGCGGTGTACATCGAGATTTGTGCTGGGCACGCCACGGCGATGGCATCATTAAGAGATGCCGATTTGGACCCCGTCCAAGCCTTCCATGAGGTGGCGCTGGTCGGACAGGGCGCTCTGTCGCCGGAGGTGCTATACATGACAGCAGCAGCCAACGTGTAGCTGGTGCTGATCTGCCAGTCGTTGGATGCCGACCAGAAGTAGAGGTACATGCCATTCGCATTCTTGTACACCCACCGTCCGTCGGTTGTCTGCCGGTCGGTGCGATCAAAGACGCCCATGCTGGGTGGCTGGTACTGCTCGGCACCAGTCACCAGCACCGTCTCGCAGGGACAGCGGCACGCGACATCAATGCCGTCGTCAAATGAGTCCCAGGTGGAGCCCGTCCTCACCTTCCACGAGGAGGCGCTTGTCGGACAGCGCACGCTGTCGCCGGAGGTGCTCTTTATGGCGGCAGCGTCTGACGTGTAGTCAGATCCGATGAGCCAGTCGTTGTACGCCGGCCAAAAGTAGAGGTACTCGCCATTCGCATTCTTGTACACCCACCGCCCGTCGGGTGTCTGCCGGTCGGTGCGATCGAAGACGCCCATGCGAGCCGGATAGTGTGTTCCAGCACCACTCACCAGCACCCTCTCGCATGGGCACGGCGGGGGCGACGGCGGCGGCGGCGGCGGTGACGGTGGGGGTGGCGACGAGGGCGGTGGTGACGGCGGCGGCGGCGAGGGAGAGGGCGGCGGCGGGGATGGCGGCGGCGGCGGCGAGGGAGAGGCCGGCGGCAGCGGCGGCGGCGGCGGTGGTGGCGACGGCGGCGGCGGAGCGAAAGACACCACAAAAGAGTGGGTGCCAGAGTGCCCCCACCCCAGCGTGATGTCCTTCTGCCCCATGCCCGACCACGTGCCGCCGTCCCAGCCGTTGCCCCACGAGTCGCGCATCGAGAGCGTGCAGCTCGAAAGGGGAGGGAGGTCGACGCTGTACATGTGCACGCTGTCCTCGTGGCTGTACCACGTGCCATACGGTCCGCCCGAGAGGATGTGGCGGCCGTTGCACTCGAGGCTCCAGGAAATCTCGTTGGAGCGGTGCCCAGTTCGCACCTCGATTGCGTAGGAGGAGGCTGGCGAGAAGGGCGGCGGCGGCGATGGTGGCGGCGGCGGCAGCGGCGGCGAGGGAGGAGGTTGAGGTGGCGGCAGTGGTGGCGGCGGCGAGGGAGGAGGTGGCGGCGGCGAGGGCGTCTTGCAGCAATAGTTGAAGCAGGCCGATCCGTCGTCCTGGGCGACCCCCGGGATACTCATGCCAGGGCTGTAGGGGCACGGAAACTTGTTTGTCCAGGCACAGCCATCTCTGCATTCCGCGGAGGGTGGCCGACAGCGGCAGTGGACGTACTGGTCGGAAGTCGGCGTTGATCCCGAAGCGGTGTTGAAGTGTGAGCAGAAAAAGTACATGGGTTGTGTACTCGAACGATGACTGCACGAAGAGAAGCACCCTGACGGCCAAGAGCGTCCTGAGCGCGTCGTCGGTGCAAAAAACGGTGCTGAAAAAACGGTATTGATTATGTCGAGTGCACGCGCGCACTCCGCTAGGCTCGTCACGTCATCGAGCCCGTGCGATGCACAGGTGCCCCCCTGGATGGTGCGAAAGCATGCTGACGGAGGCAGCTTGGGCCACGGCGGCGGTGAGGGTGACGGAGGCGGCGGCGGCGGCGACGGTGGCGCCGGGGGTCGCGGGCCGCAGTCCGTGCAGTCCGCACCGTAGCCACAAAGGCTATACTCAGAGCCGGGACCGCCATCGTCGCAGGAGCCATCATTGTGTACTGGGCAGCTCGGATCGTCCACGCAGATTGTGGCTGACTGTGGCGGGAGTCGCGCCGTGGAGAGTTCGCGGCCGTGCGCAACAATCTCAACCGCGGCGGGCATTGCAAGCTCACTGTCGGCGCCGACGTTAGAGACGGGGAGGCCCGCAGCGGAAGCGATGAGTGCGACGAGGGCCACAAACAGCACCACCCGGTAGTCGACAGAGACGGTGGTTGTCACCACCTTGCCTGGCCGCGGCCTGCGCTTCACAACCAGGCTGACGGAGCGGCGCGCCGCGTCGCCACCGTGGCTCACCGATGAGTCAGCACCGCCCGCGCGCCGGTCCAGCCGAATGCTCACGCGCGGCAGGAAGCCGAGCTTTGGCGCGCCCGCGGCGTCCTCCTCGCTCGCGGTGGTGGTGACCTGAATCAGCCGGCCAGCGCTGCGAGGCGCTGGCGTGCTGTGGGCGCGGTGCACGGCGGGCTGCGTGGCAGCGGCCGCATTCTCACCCGCCGTGCGGGCCCGCCGCCGAGGCTGGGGGGAGGAGGGCATATACCCGCCAGCCCGACCGCGGACGCACGATGACTACTCTCATCATAGAAGCGGAGATTGCTAGCACGCCGGGTGCGGCCGGCGTTCTGTCCCCCATGTGATGAATGCACACCGGTGTGTAATGGTGTGATACACGAACGACGACACACACCAGTCGACTCGCATCGATCGATCGATCGATTGGTTGCCTCCACCCATGAACGGCGCAGCTACTCTCGCGTCCACGCCACACCTGGCTCCAACGTGGACACGCTCACAGCTGGGGATACTACTAGGTCATGAAACACGAACAGAAGTTTTATCTTTTTCATCACAAGGGCAACTGGGATCACGCGGAACTGAATTCTTTTTCAGAGCGTCTCCTCAGGCTCGCAACCTGCGGTGCTCGCTCCCTCCCTCGGCCGCCTCCCCTCCTCCTGATGGCCGACGACGAGCCCACCCGCGTCCCTCTCCTCGCCGTCGTCTACAAGACCCAGACCCAGACCCTCGGCGCCGCCTACCTCGAGGACGGCACCACGCTCCGGTACTGCGAAGTCGCCGACACCGAGTTCCACATGCTGCGCTCGCTCAAGTTTGAGCTCAACCCGGACCTGATCATCGCTCCCGCCAACGCCGACGCCGTCTGGCTGGCGCAGCTCGGGAGCAGCTCGCGAGGCGCCGACGCCGAGACGCTGCTCGACGACGCCGATCCCGCGGTGGACGAGGCGGACCCGGACGGCGAGGCGGGCACGATCCCGGTCCAGCTCGGCAAGTCGCGCGACTTCAGCGCCAGCTCCGCCGCGAAGCGGCTGGTCCTGCTCATGCACGGCCGCGCCCAGGACGACGATCAGCTCCAGCTCACGGAGCGCGAGTCGCTCATCCGGCTCGAGCACCAGCTGCCTCGCGAGCAGGAGCAGGCGTGGCGCGCCGTGGGCGGGCTGCTCGCGCACCTGCAAAAGGAGGACGCGGGCCAGCTGTCCATCAGCACGCTGGCGCCGCACGCGCTCGACAAGGTGATGCGCATCGCGCCCGAGGTCCTCCTCTCGCTCAACATCTTTGTCGACCGCCACCACCCTTCGGTGCACGGCGGCAAGAGCCGCGACGCCTTTTCGCTCTGGTCGCTCTTCAACAACACCAGCTCCAAGCCGGGCGAGAAGCTGCTGCGCTCATGGTTCGCGCGGCCGTCGCTCGACCTCGAGGTTCTCTCGCAGCGGCAGGAGTCCATCGCCTTTGTCATCTCGCGCCAGGAGCTGCTGCCGCAGTGGAAAACTCTCGCCAAGAAGATCAAGGATGTGCGCGGCCTGAGGGCGAGCTTCGACCGCGGCGCTCCCGCTCCTCTGCACCGCGCCCCTCCTCGTGCGGCGGCCGCCCCATTCTCGCCCCCCTCCGCAGGCGGCCTCCTCCTCGCCGACTACAAGGCCGCGCTCTCGACGGCCGCGTGCGCCATCCACATGCGCGACATGCTGCTCGCCGCCGAGGCGTCCGCCGAGCGGCTCCACGTGATGGCCCGCCTCGCGTCGGTGGGGAGCACAGAACTGGCCGAGCTCTCCAACATGATTTTTGGCATCGTCGACTTTGAGGCCTCCGGCCGCAAAGACGAGCGCGCGGCCAAGCACATCTGCGTCAAGGAAAACGTGCACCCGCAGCTCGACGATCTGCGGCAGAGTTGCGCAGGTATGCAAAACGTGCTCACCTCGACGGCGCAGGAGGAGCGGGCGCGGCTCGAGCGGCACTCACTGATGCCGCAGTACGCGCTCGACGACCAGCTCTACGTCGTCTTCATCACGCAGCTCGGCTTTATGCTCAAGATGCCGATGCCAGAGGCGCGCCTGCCACTGCGGTGCCACGTCACGTCGCAACGAGCGGGGGCTTCGACAGCGACGCCTGCCCGCGACGGACTCGCCTAGGTGCGACCAGAGGAGGCGGAGTATGTCGAGCGCGATTTCGAGGCGGCCGGCCTCGCGCTGCAGTTCCACGAAGAGGGCGAAGGCTTCTTCAAGACTGCGAAGTGCGGCGCCGCCCTGCCGCCTCCCCTGCTCCGCCCCTTCTTCTTCAGCAGCCCCATGCCGGAAGGTGCGCCTCCCTCGACGACAAGTACGGCGACATCCTCTCGCGGATGCGCGACCTCGAGTCGCATCTCGTCCGCCACCTTGAGCTGCAGGCTTCATCCCGCGCTCCACTTCTATGGATGCCGCGTGTATAGCGACTCTTCTCCCCTCCTCGCGGCGCAGGTCCTCGCCTCGCTCTCCGAGCTGCTCGACGCGCAGTCGGTCCACACACAGCCCTGCCAGCTGCTGCGCATCCCCAGAATGGTGACCGCCGCCCCCTGGGCACGAGGTAGGTCCTCGCCGAGCTCGACTGCATCCTCGCGCTCGCGACTGCCGCCATTGAGCACAAGCTCGTCCGCCCACGCGTCGTCGATGGCGCGCAGCTCGACCTCAAGGGTGCGTGGCACCCTCTTTTGCACGCGGCGCAGCAGCTTGTGCCGAACGACTGCCGCCTCTGCGCTCCGGGCGAGCCCGAGGCGGCGGATCGGATGCTGCTGCTGACGGGGCCAAACGCGAGTGGCAAGACAGTCTACCTTCGCATGGTTGGAATCACCTGCTTCCTGGCGCACATTGGGTCGTTTGTGCCCGCCGAATCGGCGACGGTCGGCCTCACGGATGCGATCTTCACGAGGATGGTGTCGCGCGAGTCGACGCTCGCAAACGCCTCCGCCTTCATGGTCAGAGCCAATGCACAGAGATGGATGCGGGGTCGAGCGGGGTGCCTCCACCGATGCAACTTTGAGTAGGCTGACCTGACGCAGATGAGCAACATGATGCGCCACTCCACCCGCCGTTCACTCTGCCTCGTCGACGAGTTTGGAAAGGGGACCAATGCGCAGGACGGCATCTCCTTCCTGTACGCGTGCCTGCGCCACTTCCTCGACCGCGGCCGCGAGTGCCCCCGCCTGCTCGCGTGCACGCACTACACGGAGCTGCTCGAGCTGCCCGAGCTGGTCGACCGACCGGGCCTCAGCCTCTGGACGATGCAGGCGAGTGTAGACAGCTGTCGCCACCAACGCCGACGCTGCCGCCGCAGCCCGCTCCGCCGCCATTCTCACCCTCGCAGACGAAGCACAGCGGAGCTTGCGACGAGAGGACGCCGCGCAGAGATGCACAGTCAGGCGACGAGTCACCGTGTCAGGCTGTCAGCCCACGCCTCTTTGTCCGCCGCTGGCTCTCAGGTCATGCTCGAGAAGAAGACCGAGGCGGACGACACGCTCGACGACGTCATCTTCCTCTACCGCGCCATCCCCGGCCGGTCCGAGGGCTCCTTCGCGTACCACTGCGCGGCGGCGGCCAACGTGCCCCGCGCCGTCATCGACCGCGCGGTGCAGGTCTCGCGCCTCCGCGACGCGGGCGAGCCCGTCCACGCGATGGACCGCTCCGAGGCGGACGCCGCCTCCGAGCGGCGCCCCAGCTGCCTCTTGGGCGAGGCACCGTGGTGATCCGTCCACGACGCGTCCGCGACGTGTCGTTATGTAGGCGCCGCCTCGCCGCCCGGGACGAGCTCCTCAGTGGCTTCCTCGAGTTTGACTTCCGCACGCGCCGCGCCGGCGAGTTTTACGTGGCTCACGCCGCGTGCGTGGACACGCTGCGCCAGCCGGCCACCGCGCGCGCCGGCGGCGCCTTCTGCTGAGGATGGAACGGATGAATGTGGGGTGCTTGTGGTGGGCATTCATGCGGACGGGAGGGAGGAAGGGAGTCCACAGCGGGCGAGAGCGCGGCGATTTGGTTCGCCGAGCCCCCCGAGACCGTCGTGTGAGTGCCCCGCCCCGAGCGAGACTGTCTGTCGTGCGCGCTAGGGTGCGCGCACAATCAATCGCCGATCCCCTTTCTTCCTTGCCTGGCCGAGCTGCATAGTAGTGCGTAGTGTTGTAGAGTCTTTCCAAAAGAGGTCCTGTTTTTCTTGCGCAGCACTACAATGACATCAGCCAACGGTGTGGCGATGTCGCGCGCATCTACGCGGTGCGTGCACAAGACAAGGAGTGCACAAGACAAGGAGTTTGGCCTCTGCCACACGTACGAGCTTGGCCGCTTCTGTCCGTCCATGCTGCCGTCGGCGCAGCGCATCCCGCCTATTGGCGACCTCTTCACGCAGCAGAGCACCTCTCCAGTCCCGAAACAGGGCATGCTCGCTGCTGTCGGGACCCACGAAGCGTGGATCGCGTGCCTGGCGCGGTGGCGGCGTGCGAGGAGGTTGACAAAAACACGCCGCAGTCGGAGGCGATTAAGTCCAGGGAGGCGACTCGCTACATCTCGATCTCCCAGTTCGGCGCTGCTGGATGGCTCGACATGCGCCCTGATGGACTCTCCACCACACGAAGATGGTGTCGGCGATGTTCCTGACGGCGATACAGCGCAGGCACGGGCTCTACTTGTCAGTGATTGCGCCCACTTTCGTCGAGAAGGCCGCCGCAGGCATGCACGTCACGGTGGGAGAATACAAGGGCGTCTCCCTCGCCAACTCCAACAAAGGCGACCGCACCTACCTCCAAGCACAATGGGGTGCTAAGGGCCGGTGACTTCGCCACGATGCGGGACGTGCATTACGAGGTCAAGTGCTGGAACCCGCTCATCAAGACGTCGGGGAGGCGCTCGTGGGACAAAGGTGGCAATGTGGCGTCGGTGGGCCACCTCTACTGAATGGTTGCCCAGGACCCCAGGTTACTCAGGACACGATCCCGGCGTGAACACGACGAACTACCCTTCTCCGATGCACGCGCGGCACGCGCCACGGCGCGGCACGTGCCGCCGTCTTTGTTTGAAGTCAAAAGTCGAATCAGAGCGGTGTCGGCGTTGTCCTGAGTTTTCTCCCCCGGACCGCCCGTTCGGCACCGCTCCGGGATGCACGCCGGCGAAGCACCATCAAGCTGCTGTACGGCCGCGGTATCGCCTCCCCTGGCTTAGCTAGATTGAGATATATTGTGCACAAGGTTGGCCTCTACAATATATACACTGACACTCTACCTCCCAGAGCTCGTCCCGGTCCGCCATGGCCATCCTCGGCCTCCGGAGGGCCCCCGGCCGCGGCGCGGTGCGGCGGCGTCACAGATCCGACCACAGAGCACCGGGACGCGGTCGGGCGATCTGAGGTCCAACTAGGAGTATGCATTGCCCATCCAGGGCTATCACCTGGACCCATCAACAGGCGCCTGCGGCGCCGTGGTCACGAGGTGTTGTTCACACCTGGGCAAGCATTCATGCAGTACGGGTTTGGAAACACGCTGGACAAGACGTTGACGGCGGTCGTGGGGTGCAAGGAGCGTGGCCGTCAGGTGGACGGACCGCTCGACCACTCGACTGGAAAGGGATGGGTCAAAGACCACGCGTATGGAGACGGATGGGTCAAGAAGAGTGCAGGCTGGAAGTGGATGGGGGCGCAGTACTACGACGCGAAGTGGGTCAAGAAAGCCATAACGCGGCTGGTGCTCGTGGAAACTTTGGGTGGCATTGCGCCGCCCACCAAGCAGTTCCTCCACGTGTTCGCCAAGGAAGCGGCGGGCATCAACACGGACCGGACGGTGTACGGGGCGGCGTCGGCGAGCGCCTCCTCCTTCGTCGTCCACCACACGCAGCAGATCTCCATGGCGGCGGTTGCAGGCGACGCCGAAAACATCAACAAGCAGGCGCGCAATGCGCGTGCCGACTGGGTTAAATCCCCTGGGCGTGCCAACTGGGTCAACGACGTCAAGAACAAGCAAGCGGCAGACGTCCTCTTACCCTCGGCCGCAGAGTGGAGCCAGAGTGGTTGGAGCGGAGGGCGTCCGTACCGCCTAGCTCCGCGGACGGGCCCCTCCACCCTTCACGTACGGATCATGTAGTCCCCACAATCGCTGTCGTAGGATCGCTTGTCATGTGAGAGAGTACGTTGTGTTCTTGTTTTGTATCCGCTTTCGCGCCGTGAAAGAAAGAAAGAAAGAAAACAGACACCCCAAGGGAGGGATGGGAGGACGGCGCGCCGCCACCACACAGGGATTTTAAGGAGAGGAGCGTGGTGCTAGCCGTCGCCCACCCTAACCCTTGGGCGTCTGCTTCTTCCTATCTCTCTTCGCAGTCCCTCGCCGATTCTCGCTGCAACCTTCATGCCACCTACCTCGCGGCCGTCCCACTCTCGTCGTTCTCTCTCCTGTCGCTTCATCCTCTGTCGCGTCGCTCTCTGCTTCGTTCTGCGACGCCGCCGCCGCCTGCCGCCCCCTTGCTCTCGCAGCGCAGCCGTGAATTCTTTGCAGCACTTGTGAAATTCTTTTGACCTCGCAGCTCCACACCGGGCTGTCGCTGTGGCACCGTCTGCGCATGGAGACACTCGCCACCGCTGGTGACGACGCGTCGGTGGTTACCGCACTCTTCCTCTGCGGGCTCCTGGCCGTTGCTGGAGGCGTCATTGCGCTGACTAATGTCTGTGTCCAGCTCAAGCTCGTCTTTGTGTGGCCCCAGCGCGAGACGGCAGAGGCCATAGAGGAGAGCGACAACGGCTCGAGCTCGGATAGCGAAGCTGAGGAACTCTCGCCTGCAGAGATTGCGGCGCAGGAGCGTGTTTCTGCACGGCTTCGCGCGCTCGATGAGGAGGATGAAGTGCTCTTGTGGCGACGAAAGAAGCCAGAGGATGCGAGGTGACAAAAGACTGTCTGCGTATCGAGACCTGACTGTCGTGCGTATTTATCGTGTACACTTACTAACTTAGTACGGATCCCGTCGGCGACCCTGCGCGGCGGCGAGAGTCAGACGTGTGTCGGGGGTGACGAGGGTGGCGCGTCGCCGTCTAGGTCGCCGTCATGCGTCATCGGCTTCGGGGTCGCCGTGTCGCCTGTCGGAGTCGGGGAGTCCGGTGACCAGTGTGGCGTGTGAACGAGGCATGAGAGAGCGCAAGAAACGTGGGCGACTCCGATACGGTAACCTCGACGGCGACTTCCAGCACAGTGCAGCCTCTGTGCGGCCATTTGAGTTCGCGCTATACACCGAGCGACCGGCCTGCGGTCGGCGCGCTCTTTTCTCGACCTGGCCCGGAGTACGCGCTAGGCAGGGCTCTTTTCGAGCTCCTCGGCGGCAGCCTTGAGACTCAAAAGCGCCGCCACCGCCTCCTGCACTTGCGGGTCCTTGTTGCCGAGCCCCTCCTCCTCCTTGAGGCGCCGCACCTCTGCTCCCTTCTCCTCGATGGCTGCCGCCAGCTCCTCCGGCGTGGGGTCGGGAGTGCGCCGCTTCCCGCCCGGCTCGCACACAAACCCGTCCTCGTCCTGCCACTCGCTCCACGCGTAGCACAGCCCGACGCGCGACGTGACGAGCTTGCCGCCCTCCACCGCCGCCTTCTCGAGCACCCACCGCGACGCGTCCAGCAGAGTCACTGGCCTCAAGCCGGCCTTCTTGCTGTAGCCTGACTCGTACTTCTTAGACATCTCTTCCGGCAGGGCGGACGGCGCGCCGATTGCAGACTGCCAGTCTGCGAAGCCGAGCGCCTCGATCGCAGCGAGGTTGGCATAGACGTAGACGGCCTCCGAAGCCGCCGCCGTGCTGTCCGCCGCCGCCACCTCCGCAGCATCATCGGCAGCCGGCAGCTGGGCATCGCTGCTCGCTGCCTCGGTCGGGTGCCCGACAATCACACAGGCCACAGGGAGCGTCCACAGCGCCTTTGGCACGTCCGCAGCGTCTGCCAGCGCAGGGTGGAGCGGCTTCCCGGTGCGTGTCTGAAAGGTGCGGCAACCTGACGGCAATCTCGCGCAGCGCGGAGCTCTCCCACGGCTTGAGCTCAAACGAGGACGCCCACGCAAAGCCCGACTGCTTGCCACCCTTGCCGCCCTTCTTCTTCTTGCCTCCGCCGCCCTTCTTCTTTGCGAGCAGTGTAGGCGACACGTGGCGTGGCTGAACGGTCGTTGATAGTGCTCGGCCGCCACGCCAGCTGATCGGAGCCAAGGATAGGGCGTGTCCAGTCTGATGAAGCAGGAGGGCGAGCAGAATGACGCGGCGAGACCATGGAAGTGACATGGGCTTCACCGGTGCTGAGAAAACTCGCGGCACCCGGGCGGCTTCCGGGTTGACCGCGCCTGCGAGCCTGTTGTTTGTCTCTTCGCACCTTGGAGTGCTGGGGGGGGCGACAGGGGGGACGTGGCCTGAGTGATGTGTACGCCCACTCAGGATGTGTGGCAGCCCGCTGGCTGTGTGTCTTGTGAGCTTGTTTGTGTCTGTGTGTCGCTCGTGCGTGTCGTCATCATCTGTCTTGCGTCCACCCATACCGCGTTGGTGTCCAGTCCGAGCCTGACTGTTCTTCACCTTACTACATACATACATGCGAGCCTGTCGTGTCCCTTGTCAGGAGCAGGAGAGCCCCCCTGTCCCCCTGATCGTCCCAAAATCCTGCTCGTGCAGGTGTGGACCCTGTCCTCCTGCTCCTCCCCTATCCCTCGTGTGGGTTGGTTTCTTTCTTTAATGTTTAAAGGGGTTGACGCGTCTATTTATTTATACTCCCAAGTGCTCCGAGGTCACACTGAGATCTGCCTTTCCGCGTCCCTGCCACGCTTCTGCCCGCTCGCCTCCCTCCCACGCTCGTCCTCCCCGCCCTCCATCTCGAGGCGCATGGCCTCGACGGCTCGAGCGTTGAGCCGCGCCGTGAGCAGGTCGTACGCCTGCAGCTCCTCCACGGTGGCGTACGCGCTCCGGTCGTAGTCGCGGTGCATCTGCTCCTCCTGCTCGGAGGTGGCACGAGGTGAGGCGCAGACAGATCTACACACACACACACACACACACACACACACACACACACACACACACACACACACAGTGGCAAGGGAAAGGCAGCCCCTCGCATCTCTTGACATCCCTCGTGAGACGGCATTAACAGTGCGAGGCACGGTGCACGCGGGTGAGCAGACCTGCTCTGGATGCGAGTGCACCGCCCCACCAGCGATTGGTCGGCTCAGCTGCGAGTCGGCTCGGATGGCGGCGTACTCGCCCTGCTGCATGAGCTGCGCCCGCCGGAGGGTGCGCCGCCTGGGCCGCACGAGGCGGGCGAGGTGAGGCGCTGCAGTGAGGCGCTGCAAGGTAAGGCGCTGTGAGGGAGGCGAGGGAGGCGAGGCGAAGGAGGCGAGGGAGGCGAGGGAGGGAGCGCAGAGAGGGCGGGCAGAGAGAGGGGGGGTGGCGCATGCACCGCTCGGCCTCGATGGTCTCCATCCTCTCGAGCCCCGCCGCCGTCGCCGGCGGCCGCGGCAGCAAGCACGGCACAAAGGTGAGCCGCAGCCCGCCCTCGCGAGCCATGTGCGGGAAGCCGCGGAGCCACGTCACGCACAGCGGGTACTGCCAGCCGCCGGCGCAGCTCTCGCCGCGGGCGTCTCCGGCCGCTGCCGCCGGCACCATCGGCGCGGGCACCACGGGGCCGTCGGGAGGCAGCGCCGCTCGCAGCACGAGCCGCAGCTCGGCGAGCTTACCGCGCGACTCGAGCCGCTGCAGCCACGCGGCCGTCGCCGCGCCGGGCCGCGTCGGAGCGGCGTTGGCGGCGGGCAGCTCGAGGGCGGCGAGCACCTCGTTGAGCGCGAGCAGCGCGGCCTTGCTGAAGAATGGCGCAAAGACGGGGCCGCCCCGCGCGAGGAAGCGGGAGACGCTCGGCTCGGAGGCGGCGCGAGGCAGCAGAGCCGCGCGCTCCTCGTCCGCCGCCGGGACGCAGAGGCCGTGCGGATCGGAGTTGTCCGGCGCAGCGGCGCGCCTGTCGCTGGCCTTGGGTGGCGCGAACGGCGCGGCGTCGTGCGGGTGGTCGGGGTGCAGCAGAGAGAGCAGCGCAAAGAAGCGAGGCACCGAGAGGCGGGCGAGGCCGCACGTGCTCCCGTCCGCCTTTGCAGCGGCGCAGTGTGGCCCCGCCCAGTGGACGAGCGCCTGGCAGCCGTGCAGCGCCGCCCACTGACGCTCGAGGCTCTCTGTCGCTCCCGCCGCGCGCGTGGCAGCCAAGGCCAGCGAGCGGCATTCCACGTACAGCTCGAGCAGGGACGCCGAGTCCACGTGCGCGCCGAGCGCTGCGCTGCGAGGCGGGCGCAGGATGGTCGTGGGTACGCCCTCGCACACCGCCGGCTGGCCCCACAGCCGCTCGAAGCAAGCGACGATGGCCTCCGCGTGGACGACAGCAGCCCGCGGGCCGCTGACCTGTGTCTCGCCAAAGCCGCTCTGCCGCCACCCCTTCCAGCACGCGCCCTGTGCGTTCGGCCCTGTCAGCGCGCGGAAGACTGCCTGCGCCGTCTCGGGCCCGAGCCGCTGCTTGCGGTCCTTTGGGTCGAACAACAATGCCAGCCGTGCTTGCGCACCGGCCCTCCCGGCGTTGAGATCGAAGCCGAGGTTTTCGTCCTCGGCTAGAGTGGGCGGCAGCCGACTCTGGTAGGCCTGCTGGAGCCGCGTGAGGTGGTGCAGCAGGGTCGTGTCGGAGTCCTCCACCTCGGTCAGCTTGTGCGCCGCGAAGCTGGAGCGAGGCCAGGACATCACTGTTTCGTTTTCTTTTTATTCAGCATATACCCCAGTCCGAGCCTGACTGTTCTTCACCTTTCTACCTACCTACCTTACCCTCTTGCTGCCGGTTTCCGACTCTGCGTGGCCGACTCACACAGCGAGCCTCCTGTCTCCCTGCCTGCTGCCGATTCATCGGTCGTGCTCAGCCAAGAGATGTAGAGACCGACCGACCATATGCACAATATCTTGACTGAGAGCTAAGCCCAGTTCGACGATCGGCAGCCTCACGGGTCGCGCCGCTGCGCAGCGAGAGGCAGGCTCGCCCGGCGAAGGTTGATTGACCAGAGAGTGCTCAACAATACCAGATTGTAGCCTGGTGCCCCGTTTGTGCCGCGTCCCGTGCCCCCGAGTTCATTTTATAGAAAAAACCAGGGAGCCTCAGGGACAGGGTACAGGGAGTGCCACTGCCACCACCCAGGCCGCGGGAGCCGATCGTGTGGGCAGAGACGCCGTCCCAGCCACTTTGGCGGCCAGCCCGATAGGCAGTTGTATCTCAAGCTATCTCAGAGCTGCTGACGACGACTCGCGAGTACCGGCGCAAGCAGCGACGTCTCGCCAGCGAGAGGTGGCCGTGGCTGCTTGCGCGCGGCGTCACGTCTCTCGGCGTTTTCGGCCTCTTTTGGGCTTACAGCCGCGACGAGCTCGCTCTCGGCGACGTGGCGGCGCTGTATCAGACCTTGAAGGAGAAGCCAAACGCCGCGCAGGGCGTCGCGGCGGCGCCTAGCCACGGCAGTGACAAGCTGCTGCCCCCAGGAGTGCGGGTAGCTACCCTAGCGGTGTTTGTTCGAGCCTCGGGCACGGCAGGGTTCCGGCTCCTAGCCGGATAGGGGGTCTGTTGGGACTGACTCGCGCCAGAACGCCCTACCTACCTACCTATCCCCAGGCCGCGCAGCGAAGCGAAAAAAGATGAAAATAGGGGGTACCTACCTATTGCAGGGCCCTTTTGGGCCAAACAAGACCAACCTACCTACCTATCTGGGAGGGGCCAGCCAGTCCGCAGACCCCCTATCTGGCTAGGAGCCGGAACCCGGGGACCCAGCATGTGCTCGCCTCCTATGGTGGCTTGACGCGCACTTTTGCGTGCTCAAAACCCTTACAGAGCTCTCCATGCCTCGCGCGGTGAGGCTGGCGTCCTCCATGCCTCGTGCGGTGAGGCTGGCGTCCGAGGCCCAGCGTGCAGTTCCAGCGGGCGTGTTGCGCAGCGACGCTCACGCTGCCGTGGAGTTGACCGCGTCTCCGTTGAAAGCGGGCGCAGCTGAAGAGCTGACCGCTTCTCCCGTGAAAGCGGGTGCAGCAGCAGCCAGTGCGCAGCCGCAAGCAAGCACGCCTCGTTACTCCGCAGCGTGCATGATTTTGACACTCATGCCAGGCTCGCTCTTGACTACCATCGACCAAGGCGTGATGGACGTGTGCCTCGTCACGATTGCAAAGGAGCTGGCGACGCCGCTGCACAGAGCGCAGTGGGTCGTGCTCGTCTACCTCCTGCTGAGCGCCTCGACTCAGGTCGCCGCAGGCCGCTTGGGCGACCGCTACAGCAAGCCGCGCGTGTACCGGGTCGGGCTGCTGATCTTCATCGGGAGCTCCACCAGCTGCGCCTTTGCGCCCTCCATCGAGGCGCTGATTGCGCTGCGTGCCGTGCAGGGCTTGGGCCAATCGCTCATGAGCAGCAACTCGCTCGCGATGGTCAAGTTCTTCACCAGGCCAGAGCAGACCTCGGTCGCGATCGGCTACAGCCACAGCATGATTGGCTTGGGCATGAGCCTTGGGCCGCCGCTCGGCGGGCTGCTGACCTCGGCCTTCGGCTGGCGGAGCGTCTTCCTCATCAACCTTCCCACAGGCGCGCCATCCAATTTGTGGTTCCCCACTTGTGCACACACAGCCATCCTGGTGTGCATGCCTCGAAGAGATCCGCATCTGCCCACACCCGAACCCTCGCCAGCCCTCACCCGGCAGGCGTGCTCGCGATGGCGCTCGTCTGCACCCTCCCCGACACGCCCGCGTCCGGCGGCGTGTCGCTCGACCCGGTCGGCAGCGTGCTCACCTTTGCGTCGGTCGGAGGAAGCCTCTTCACCCTCTCGGCCGCGCAAGAGCAGGAGGCAGCAACCTCTCTGTGGATGGCGGTCGGCTCGGCTCTCCTCCTCCTCCTCCTCGCCCTGTGGCTGCGGTGCGCCGCGAGGCCGCTCGTGCCGCGGCCTGTGCTCGCCTCGTGGCCGATCCGCTGCGGCGTCCTCTCCGCGTGCGGGCTCTACTTTGGCGTCTCGCTCGCGCGCTACCTGACGCCCCTGTACCTGCAGCTGGGCATGGGGTGGAGCCAGGCAGACACGGGGCTGGCGATGCTGTGCCAGCCGCTCACCTTGCTCCTGGGAGGGCTGGGCAGCGGGCGGCTGGCGGCGCGCCTAAGCGCCAGGGCGCAGACCGCCCTCTCCCTGCTGCTGCTCGCGGCGGCCATCCTGCTGCTCGGCGCCGGCCTCGGCTCCTTTTGGCCGATGGGAGCGAGCATGGTGCTGCTGGCGGCGGGGCAGTCGCTCTTCCAGCCCGCGAACGCCGGGTTTGTGCTGGCGTTCGCCGCGCAGGATCAGCTCAGTGTCGTCGGCGCGCTCCTCGGGATGGCGAGAGGAATCGCATTGCCCCTCGGCATCGTGTGCTGCAACGCGCTGCTGTCGGCCCTGTCGCCTCCGCATGCGGCCTCGCTCGACGAAAAGAACGCCTCGTCCACGGCCGCGACGGCGGCCATCGATGCCGGCGCCGCTCGCACCACCGTGTGGCTGTATCTGCTGCCCACGGCTGCGGCGTTGGCCGTGACTCTGATGCGCGGCAAGCCGCCCGAGGCCATCTCCGTCGCACGCAGGACGAGTACCGAGAGCAGCGGCCCTGTGCGTGTTAGGTCGTAATCACAACTCACTAACAAGCAACACTTACAGTCTCCGGGCCCAGGTCACACACCTGAGATCACACTTCACAGCGATATAAGAAACGGAAAGAAAACACACGGTTCACGGGGACAACCCAACGGAGGGAGGGGAGGATGGGAGGACGGCACGCCGCCACCACACTGCACACAGGGATTTCACGGAAGGAAGGTGTGTGCCTGTTGCTAGCCTAGGAAGCTAACCGTCGCCCACCCTCTTGCGTCTTGGCACTTGGGCGTGCGTCTGCCTCTTCCTATCTCCCTTCGCAGCCCTCGCAACCTTCATGCCACCTCGCGGTCGTCCCACTCTCCTCGTTCTCTCTCCTGCGCTTCATGCTCTGTCTCGTCCCTCCGCTCGATATCTCTCGTTCTCTTCTGCTGAAAAAAGAAAGAAAACAGACAACAGAGGACGGCACGCCGCCACCACACAGGGATTTTAAGGAGAGGGGTGTGGTGCGCTAGCCGTTCTTTTCTGCTGTGAGTGAGGGGGGCTCCTAGAATTCTACAACCACTGTACCACCCAAGACAGCTTGCAGAGCTGCGAGAGCTCCCGGTCACTCAACATAAGCTGTGGGCCGCTGTTTTCACGGTGCTCAGACTGCCCCCCGGTTAAGATCTCGCGCAAAACTCTTTTTCCCACCTTCGAGTACACCCCCAAGACTTCCCCAAACCGCCCAGGATGAGCTCCTGAGATGCCAGTCCGCCCGAGATATGACCGGTTGAAGTTGGGGTTCCACGGTCAGGATAGAGGTGTCGAACTGGATGGGGGTCAGCCAGGGAGGCTGTTGTGGCGCACCGGACCGCCCCCCAGCACCGTGCCCCACCCAACTGCATCCATGGGAGTCACAAACGGTGCTGCACTCGTGGCTGCAAGCACTCACGACACTCAAACCCACCACCTGCCTCCTACCCTGTACGAGGAGCCATTTCACCCGTGCAACATCTGCACAGGTGTACCGCCGACGCTCAAGCGCCCGGCCCCTACTAGAGTAGTCTTGGGGGACCCACAAACGACCAATATATCCACTCGGGGCTGCAGCATGTGTCCGGGGGGGGCATCCCCGTGAAGCAGCCAGCAGGTGCCGGACACGGCGTTGGCCGTCTTGGAGCGAGATCAGGGCGCAACTGCCTACCTCGTGGGGCTGAAGGACCGTCATGGGGTCGGCTTTGATGCTGCCAATCAGTCGGGTCGATAGGTGGCGCCCCAGCGAGATGCGTCGCGGGTGCTCGGCGTCGCCTGCTTGAGTGGCCTGAACGCACTCGCGGGAGCCAGAGAGCAAAGGTGTGCGCGAATTGAGGCTTCTGAGCGAGTCCAGGCAAGCCACAGGACCGGCCATGTGCGTGGGTAGTCGAGCGGTGGCCGGAGGAAGCCTCCAGTAGTGGCTCTCAGTTCGACACCTCGGTCTCGACCACGACCCCACTGGGAGCGGCCCACAGCTTATTTCGCAACGATGGTCGCTATTGGCCACCTGCCTCCTTCATCTACACATGTCGTCGGCTCGGACGGAGCGTCGGCAGGCATTGAACGCTGTACGTGCTCCGGCGGCACTCCCAGGCCCCGAGCCAGAGCCCCGACCGTCTCTGGCGTTCCATGCGACTGGGACTACCTGCGAGGCGTGTGGGTTCGGCCGGATGGCGACGACTACGATGCGAGGGTGGCAAAGGCAGAGAGAGCGGAGGAGCTGCGGTGGCGGGCGATGCAGAGTGACGGTCGCCGTACACATAGCCCTCGCACGACTTCCACGCCGTCGGCTCGAAGAGCACGGCCTCGGTAAACCGAGCAGGCTCATTGAGCGTGGCGCCCGCATTGCTGGCTCTCATTGAGCAGCAGTTCAGATGCGGGCGCGTCCCGTCACAGCAATCACCCTGACCCGGTCGCACATGCTCAGCCCGTCCCTCGCTCCCTGGCAGGCGACCACGCTCGCGTGGGCACACGCACATGGCCTCGCGGGTCGAGAGCGTATCAATCGGTCAGATGAGGCTGGAGGACGAGCGAGACGGCAACGCGCTCGACGACGAGGCTGAGGAGGAGGAGGAGGAGGAGTAGGATTCGGCGTGGCGCGTCTACTTCCTGCGAGATTCGAGCTGTCGGAGGACTTACGTCGGTGCGAGCCCCGACCCCGTCCGACGACTGCGCCAGCACAACGGCGAGCTCTCGGGAGGTGGCGCGCCCGCCGCGGGACGGCCGTGGCGCATTCTTCTGGTTGTGCGCGGCTTCTCCTCGAAGAGTGATGCGCTCGCTTTCGAGTGGGCGTGGCAGAAGCCGCACACCAGCCGGCACATTGCGCGACAGTGGGGTGTGAAGGGATTCGGGAAGTGCGGCACACGGTCAAAAGTGTCGGTGCGGTTGGCGGCGCTTGCGCTGCTGCTCGTGCACGGCCATTGGGCCGTGTGCGCGCTTCATGTCCGTGTGTGTGCTCCCGAGGAGTGTGGACAGGCGTTGCAGGACGCGCCGCGCCGCCGCGCCCGCGGGGCTCACGTACGGACCGCCGTGAAGTGATTTATTTGACTAATGTCACACAACATGTTGGGAGACTGATGGGTCAAAAGCATAGATCGTCAATCGACGCGTCGCGCCTTTACCGATGCGGATAGTGAGGTTCTTTTGGCACCTGTGTTAGTGCCAGTGCGCGCCAGTCCCGTGCCCAGTGTTGTGCGAGGGAGTTTGCTGTAAAATTCTTTTGGCGGCCTTGAAACGAAGACGAGAGAGACCTGCGGCCGTCCGCCTCTCTCCGGGCGCTGCTGGTGCGCAGCGTGCGCCGTTCTGCACTCGGGCACACCACCGCTCCACTCTCCGCTCTCCTCCAGCCGCACAGAGCCCAACCAGACCCCCCGACGGTCGGCGTTGAGCGTCGTTGAGCAGTGCCACGAGAGGCAGCAGCGTCTCCCCCGTGTGCCACAGCCGCGTGTGAGTTGCGATGGGAGCCAGCTAGCCTCCCGACCGGCCTCCCGCGCACACTCGCACTTGGCAGCCTCGAGCCTCACCACGCCCGCTGCACACTGCCTCAGGCACCTTCGCTCCCGCCACCACGCCGCCGCTCCAGTGCTCCTGCCACCGCCGCAGCCCTCCGCGTCGCGTTTCTGCCACCCTTTGACCGAGGCCGTGCGCTAGGCAGGCGTGCAGCTACAGGTGCGCAGCGGCGCGCGGCGCACCACCGCCGCGCTCTCACTCCTCATCCCGGCCAGCTCTCCCCTCTTTCCGCCCCGCAGCTCCCCCGTCACCTCGCGATATCTCCCTCCCTCCCTCCCTCCCTCTCTCGGAGCCTCTCGGCAGGCCTCCGTCCCTCCGCCCCCCCCCTTCCTCCGCCGACCGCGCACCGCGCCATCCCCGCCGCCGTCGGCCTCACACCAGGTCTCATCGGCGCTCTCTGCCGTAGGTTGCGCGCCGCTGCAGGGCGGGCTGCGCGGCTCGTCGCTCGTGGGTGAGGCGCGGCCGCGGCCGCGGCGCTCTCGCCTCTGCTGAGGCGCGCTATCTGCTCGCCTCGCCGCTCTCCCCCCTCTCTCGCACCTCTCTCCGCACTCTTCCCATTCGCGCCACGCCGCGGCGTCGCCACCGCACCGCCCTCTCTCGCCCTCACTGCGCGCTCCTCACCTCGCGATATCTCCCTCCCTCCCTCCCTCCCTCTCTCGGAGCCTCTCGGCAGGCCTCTGTCCCTCCGCCCCGCCCCTTCCTCCGCCGACCGCGCACCGCGCCATCCCCGCCGCCGTCGGCCTCACACCAGGTCTCATCGGCGCTCTCTGCCGTAGGTTGCGCGCCGCTGCAGGGCGGGCTGCGCGGCTCGTCGCTCGTGCGTCAGGCCGCGGGCGGCGCTCTCGCCTCTGCTGAGGCGCGCTAGCTGCTCACCTCGCCGCTCTCCCCCCTCTCTCGCACCTCTCTCCGCACTCTTCCCATTCGCGCCACGCCGCGGCGTCGCCACCGCACCGCCCTCTCTCGCCCTCACTGCGCGCTCCTCACCTCGCGATATCTCCCTCCCTCCCTCCCTCCCTCTCTCGGAGCCTCTCGGCAGGCCTCTGTCCCTCCGCCCCGCCCCTTCCTCCGCCGACCGCGCACCGCGCCATCCCCGCCGCCGTCGGCCTCACACCAGGTCTCATCGGCGCTCTCTGCCGTAGGTTGCGCGCCGCTGCAGGGCGGGCTGCGCGGCTCGTCGCTCGTGCGTGAGGCGCGGCCGCGGCCGCGGCGCTCTCGCCTCTGCTGAGGCGCGCTATCTGCTCGCCTCGCCGCTCTCCCCCCTCTCTCGCATCTCTCTCCGCACTCCTCGGCGGCAGCCCCGCAGGCTCGGGTCGCTGCAACCTCGAGTCGGGCTGGAGCGGCTGGGCGGCGCGGGGGCCAGCGTCGGCGGCGCCGCCCCGCCGCCGCCTCGACTCCTCCTCCTCCTCCGTCGCTGTCTACATCTTTCGACGGCATGCGCCGCCTCGCAGGGCGCGTCCAGAGCAGCTCGGGCGGCGCTGCTGCGGCGGGGGCGGATGGCGCGGTCGCCGCGCCGCTCATCGGTGAGCCGGCGCTCCCGCGCGGCGCTCCGGCGGCCGGCGGCGTGTTTCGCCGCTGCGGAGGGCGTTGTCGTCGCGAGGGGCGGGCCCACGGCGGCGGAGGCGCTGCGCTGACGGCCGCTGACGGCGGCGGTGAGGGCCCAAGCGCCGGCCGAAGAAGCGTTGCCGCGATTGCCGTGGCGTGCCGCTTGGCGGGCCCGGCGAGCGGTCCCCGCCGGTCGGGGCTGCCAGCGCTGCACGGTGCGAGCCGCAACTCCCGCCCCCCGCCACCTCTCGCCCCTCCCCCAGCCCTCTCCCTCGGCCCCGCCTCTCGCCCCGCCCGGGACTCTCCCCACGCCGCCTCTCCGCCACCCGCCAGCCATCCCCGCCCCCGCCACCTCGGCCCTAGCGCGCACCCGCACGCGTCCCTGCCGCAGACTGGCGCGGCGACAAGGCGATCGAGGCCGAGCATATGCGCTGGAGGCGACGGCCTCGACTTGCGCGCGATCGGCGCCTCGCTCCTCTCGGCTCGGCAACGATACGCGGCGCGCCAGCGTCGGCCCGCTCAAGGCTGCCCCGCACACACCCCTCTGGGGGTGGCGTCCTACCTTCTCCCCCCCCCCTGCCCCTTGGCCCCCCTCCCCTTTTACAGGGGGGGGGGGGGCCCCCCCTCATCCCGCAGAGCTGGGGCCCCTCTCCTTTCGGTGGGGTCACCGTCCCCCCCACCCCCGGCGGCACCGTTTGACCTGGTCGCCTCTCCCCGGGGCCCCTTCCACGCAGTCCGTGGCACGGGCTTCCCCAGCGGGGCCGGGAAGGAGAGGCTTTTGCCCCCCCCCCCCCACCAACCACCACCACCGCTAGGGCCGACGGACGCCCCGCGCCTGCGTCCACCCCCCGCCGCCGAGGCGCATGGCGGCGCCTCGAGAGAGCCGCCGCGCGGCGCGGTCGCCGGTCGGGCGCAGAGGGCCGGGCGCCGGTCTCCGGAGCCGGGGGGCCGCCCGTGGGGCGAGGAGGGCGGAGGGGCGCGGCGGGGCCCGCCCAGCGGTGGGGGGGGCCGCGGCGGGGGCGTCCCGGTCCCGTGCACCGAGGCGGGGCGGCGGGGTGTGGTGCGGCGAGGTCGGTGTGCCGTCCGCCCCGGTCCCGGAGCCCGTCTCCCGGCTCCGCGGGGCCCAAGTCGCTTCGTTTCGGGTGTGTTTGGCTTTGTTTGCAGTCGGTGTGCGCGTTTCCTAGTCAAAACGTCGCGTTCGGTTCGCATTTGCATCCCCAGTCCCATTCCATTCGGCTTCGGGGCGAATCGGTATGACTGGGACCGCAGTTTCCCCAGTGTGTCCGCGCCTCGGCTCGTAATGGTCTCACCCAATCAAAGCGGCGCCCTCCGGCGTACCACTTAGAGGAATACGCATTTCTGCGGCGAATACAAACGCGAGTACGCGCACCGGCGCGGACACACTGGGGCTTGTCTGGCGGTGCTGCCCGCGCGGTCGGTACCGCCCTCTCGGCCACCCAAGCAGGTGGATAGGTGAGGAGACGCGCAGAACGGCGGCCGCGAGGCAGCCGGCGCGGTGCTCCCTCGGCGCGGTTCGCCGGAGCAGACTTTTGCTTACGGTTTGAGCCGCGGCCCGGTAGGTTGACTGAGCGGCTGGTGCGTGTGAGGCGGTGCTGGGCGGGGTTGGGTCGCCACTGCGCGATCCGGCCCCAGTCTCGGTTACGTAGACGCCTGGTCAGCACGTGCCGCCGCGGGGACTCACCCTCCCCCGACGCAAAAGCTCCCTCGCTGTGCCCCTCCGGACTGGATGGGGCCGCCTGGGCAGCGGCTGTGTGTGAGAAGCAGATGGTTTCCCGATGGGCAGACGCTTCGTGCGCCTCACCCCGCAGCGCGGCTGGCTCGCAGCTCGGAGGTTTCCTCTGGGCGCGGGTCGGCTGGCTGCACTGTCGGTGGCGGTGGCGCCTCGACTGGCCCCGCGTAACAAGGCCCTGGCGGGCTCAGCGGTGCAGCCCTCCCCTTACGGAGCGGCTCCCGCCCTGCTGTGGAGCTGCGGCGTGTCGGTTGTGATGCGCTTCTAGCCACCGAGCGGTCGTGCGAATCCTTGAGTGGAGGCGCGATGCGCGCGGCGCCCCGCGAGGCCGCCCGTACTGGGCCGGCCCGCGGCTTGGCGCTGCGCGAGGGCTGCGTCTCTGACTAGAGCCGCGCTCCGTAACATGATTACGACACGTGTCCTTGGCTTTGTTGGCCTTGGAGTGAGCACTGTCGGTCAGACTCTGGGCGGCCGCGCGCGGTGGTCTCTTGTCCCCTCCGGAGACGGAGGGCTCTGACTCGGACCGCGCGCGCTGGCCTGCCCCTGTCTGGTCCGGGACTTCCGTTGTGGGAGGGGGTCTGGTCTCCGACTAGGCTCCCTCCCCGCGGGTTGTCTGCGGGCTACCTGGTTGATCCTGCCAGTAGTCATATGCTTGTCTCAAAGATTAAGCCATGCATGTCTAAGTATAAGCGACTATACTGTGAAACTGCGAATGGCTCATTAAATCAGTTATGGTTTATTTGATGGTACCTTGCTACTTGGATAACCGTAGTAATTCTAGAGCTAATACATGCAGGAGTTCCCGACTCACGGAGGGATGTATTTATTAGATAAGAAACCAAACCGGTCTCCGGTTGCGTGCTGAGTCATAATAACTGCTCGAATCGCACGGCTCTACGCCGGCGATGGTTCATTCAAATTTCTGCCCTATCAGCTTTCGATGGTAGGATAGAGGCCTACCATGGCGTTAACGGGTAACGGAGAATTAGGGTTCGATTCCGGAGAGGGAGCCTGAGAAATGGCTACCACATCCAAGGAAGGCAGCAGGCGCGTAAATTGCCCGAATCTTGACACAGGGAGGTAGTGACAAGAAATAACAATACAGGGCTATTTTAGTCTTGTAATTGGAATGAGTACAATTTACATCTCTTCACGAGGATCAATTGGAGGGCAAGTCTGGTGCCAGCAGCCGCGGTAATTCCAGCTCCAATAGCGTATATTAAAGTTGTTGCAGTTAAAACGCTCGTAGTCGGATTTCGGGGCGGGCCGACCGGTCTGCCGATGGGTATGCACTGGCCGGCGCGTCCTTCCACCCGGAGACCGCGCCTACTCTTAACTGAGCGGGCGCGGGAGACGGGTCTTTTACTTTGAAAAAATCAGAGTGTTTCAAGCAGGCAGTCGCTCTTGCATGGATTAGCATGGGATAATGAAATAGGACTCTGGTGCTATTTTGTTGGTTTCGAACACCGGAGTAATGATTAACAGGGACAGTCAGGGGCACTCGTATTCCGCCGAGAGAGGTGAAATTCTCAGACCAGCGGAAGACGAACCACTGCGAAAGCATTTGCCAGGGATGTTTTCACTGATCAAGAACGAAAGTTAGGGGATCGAAGACGATCAGATACCGTCGTAGTCTTAACCATAAACCATGCCGACTAGGGATTGGAGGATGTTCCATTTGTGACTCCTTCAGCACCTTTCGGGAAACTAAAGTCTTTGGGTTCCGGGGGGAGTATGGTCGCAAGGCTGAAACTTAAAGGAATTGACGGAAGGGCACCACCAGGAGTGGAGCCTGCGGCTTAATTTGACTCAACACGGGGAAACTTACCAGGTCCAGACATTGTGAGGATTGACAGATTGAGAGCTCTTTCTGATTCGATGGGTGGTGGTGCATGGCCGTC